AAAGTTGGGGATTTTTGGACTTTGTCCCCCCCAAACCCTCCAAGCAGCCGATCCCACGGCGTGGGTTGTGGGGCGGGCGCCTTCACCCCAGCTCAGTCCCCCGGCTCAGCTGCTCCACCTGCCCGTCCCCAGAGCGCCCTGTCCGAGGTGCCGGAGCCCAGGATGTGCCGGTCCCAGAGACGCCCCGTGCTGGCGTTCAGCGGGAGGAGGAGAGGCTGGCTGGGCGGTAAGAGGGGGTACCCTGGTGGAGGGCAGGTACCAGGGATGTTAGCAAGGCCAGGGTGCCTGGGACCGGCCGGGAGCTGGGGTGCAGTGTCTCCAGGGGGTGCAGGGAGGAGCTGGGGGGCTCACGGTGGGAGGTTGGGGGGGCCTGGTGCTGGTATGCTGTGGAGATGAAGGGAGCTCTGGATAGACCTGCCCCCCGTCTGCTCCATCTTCGGGAGAGGTGATTTGCCAGGGGGGGATCCCAGGCAGGCTCCCCCTTGGTGCTGATTTCTGGGCCCGGGTTCCTAGCTCAGCGCTCAGTCCCTGGGCACCGTGCTCCCCTGATGGGCTCTCTCCCTCCCCAGGGCCCTTCTCCGTCGCCCCCGCTGCTGCCGGTCAGACGCCCGCCTCCATCCTGGCCTCATTGGCACCTCCTGGTGGTTGGGGCTCTGTGCACCCATGAAATGGGCCTTTGCTTATGGACGACTCCCAGAGACTCCAGCAGGAGGGACCCTGCTGGGGGGGGCTGTCGCTGGGGGGGGCCTCCTCTCCGCCTGGCACGTTCCCAAAGGCCCCATGGGGAGTCGGAGGATCCTGTTGGCTCTGGCCCTGCAGGGTGCGGCCCTGGACAGCACCCAGGAGTTGGCCCCCCCCTCCACTGGCAGGGCTGGACGCTGTCCCCCGGAGCCCCTCACACCTCGGGCCCTGGTGCTGGGCGCCCTCGTGGTAAAGCCCCTCGCTCTGGCGAGGCTGATCTGTCTTCCGTGAAGACGCCCCTCTGGGCCGTGTACAGTTCGTATTTTTATATCTGTGTTAGCGACTGAGCCAACCAATAAAGCGTTTGCAAGACGCCGGCGGCTCCGCTGGCCCCGATGCCCGATACCGCCAGCCCCTGAGGCTGCAACCGGGCCACATGCCGGGCGCTGCCCCCCTCGCTGTAGGGTGGCTCTCAGAGGAGCTGGTGCTGCTCCGTACCGTGCCCAGCCGTGTGCTGCCCTGGCCCCTGGTCTCTCCCCAGGCCCTGCCCAGCGGCTCACAGGGGTTGGGCCCCATGTGGCTGGCTCGGGGTGACTCTGCCCCGATCTCAGGGGGCACATCCCCCCCACGTGCATCGCCGTGCGCTGTGCCTCAGCCTGCCTGGCAGCAGGTCCCTGGGCGAGGCCTATGGGTCTGGAGTGAGGGGTGGGGGGAGCCCCGTGTGGGATCGTGGGGGGCCCTCCCCTGGCCTGGGCGTTGCTCCCACAATCCCAGCCGACGCGGAGCTTCCTCTGGGCCACAAGGGGCCATGCAGGGGGCTCCCCCTCTGCCTGTTGCCTCAGTGCAGCAGCTGGGCTGGGGGCCCAGCACCCTGGGGGGCCCCAGAGCCCTGGGAAAGGGAGGGAGTGTTGTGCTCATTGGAAACCCCCCTTCCAGGTCTTATGGAGCCTGTCGCAGGCCCTTGTGCGCTGGAGGGGGTTGGGGGGGATGGTCAGATGGAGGGGGGGCTGGCAGGGGAGGGGCGCGTGGTGGGTTGGCTCATGGTCCCCTTTCCTGCTGGGGGTTGAATTGCTGAGAGTGAGATCGGGCAGGGGGTGCCCCACTCAGTCACCTGCCTGGTACCTGGGAGCCGGTCTCTGCTCTCCGGGGCGTCTCGGGGGCCACCCAAGGCCCAGGGCGGTTGCTGCAGGCTAGGGTGACCCGCGCAGGAGCCGGCGGCTGCTCGCTCCCCGGCGGGGCTGAGGCTGGCGCCCGGCCAGCGATCGATGGGGCATGTTGCGCTGATTAACCAAGCGCGCTGCTGCAGCGCTGGGAGATGTTAACAGCGAGACTCCGCCGGAGACACACGGCGGGGAGGATCCGGGGGGAGGGGCAGGCCTGCATGGCGTTGGGGGGCAGCGTGGGGGTGAGTGGGGAGTTGGAGCCCCACGGTGCTGTGCTCAGCTGCGGGCACCGAGACACAAATGGGCTGCAGCCCTGGCCCGGGGCTGGGGTGTCCTTCCCTGCAGCCCCCGGCCGGCACCCAGCCCCCCGTCTCCCCTTCCTGCCCCCAAAGCCTCTTGGGAAGAGAATCAACTGCAGTGGGTTGCTGAGAGCAGAGGGCGGCCCCCCACCCCGGGCAGTCAGTGCCCTGCGCCCCCAGCAGCAGGTGCATGGGGCCCAGCTGGTGGCTGGCATGTGGGGCGGACACCTCGCTGCCAGGGAGATGTTAATTTCCAGGCCTGTCATTGCTGCGTGTCGCTGGCAACGCGACAACAAGGAGGCGGCAGCAGCATCAGCGCTCAGATCAACAACTGTGAGTGACTCCTGCAATGCAGAGTGCCACTGCCCAGCCGGGGCCGGGGCCACCGCCAGCTCCCCTGCACCACTGCCCAGCCGGGGCCCCCGGCACTGCCAGCTCCCCTGCGCCACTGCCCAGCCGGGGCCCCCGGCGCTGCCAACTCCCCTGCACCACTGCCCAGCCGGGGCCCCCGGCGCTGCCAGCTCCCCTGCACCACTGCCCAGCTGGGGCCCCTGGCGCTGCCAGCTCCCCTGCGCCAGTGCCCAGCCGGGGCCCCCGCCGCTGCCAGCTCCCCTGCGCCACTGCCCAGCCGGGGCCGGGGCCACCGCCAGCCCCCCCGCCCCGGTGCCCAGCCGGGGCCCCCGGCGCTGCCAGCTCCCCTGCACCAGTGCCCAGCCGGGGCCCCTGTGCTGCGAGCTTTCCTGTGGTGGTGCCCAAAGTGCCACGTCTCTGCCCACCCTCTGCTCTTCAGCAGCAACCGGGCATGAGCTGCAATTGTACGTTCCCAATGAAAACAGCTGTAAAAAGCCCATCCCGTGGATTTATTCCCTGGAGCTGGCGCCCCCGCCCCGTCTAACTCTGGCGCGTCCCCCCACGCCTAAACGAGGCAATTAGAATACGCAGCGCGGATAGGTGCTAGAGGAGAATTAGTGCCAGCCATAAAGCAGCGTGACTAGCCTGGTTATGAGCCCATCCATCCTCCGGCAGCACCCACAAATCTGCCAGCCCTGTGCAGCAGTGTCTGCAGGGAGACAGCCCCACCCCCAGCTGTGCTCAGCAGAGCCCGTCCCTGCGGCTGTGTAGGCCTCCTGCTGCCTGGCAAGGGCTGGGCACTGGCCACGGGGCTTCCCTGCCAGGGGCACCAGCTCTGGGTAGGACCTGCCCGTGGCTGGGTGGGATCCACCCTTCGAGGCTGGCTCAGTGGGGACTGTGCTGGGCCCTGCTCCCCAAGCCTGGCTGCCCCATGCCAGCGCCAGACCCTGCCCCACCCCCGTGGGGCCAGCTGCCCTGATGGCTGGTGGCCCCCAAGGTCACGGCTCCCCAGTGTGGTCACCAGGCTTGGCCTGGCTGGGGGATCTGCTCCTGCGTCTGGTGCCTGCAGAGACATGCTGGGAATGGAGTCCCCGTTGCCCCCACCAATGGGGACGGCAGAGCCGGGCTGGGGCTGGGCCCCGGCTGCTAACTACCCAGGACAGTTGGAGAGACAGAGGGGGTCAGAGCAGGGAGGTTGGGAGCCAGGACTCCTGGGTTCTGCCCCTGGCTGTTCCATGGGAGTTGTTGTGAGGCTCTGGACGTGTCCCTGCCCCTCTCTGTGACTCAGTTTCCCCTGTGCCTAGGGGCTAACCACCAGCTCAGTGGGTTGGGCTGTGGGGCCAAGAGCCCAGGGCAGTGCTGGAGGATGCTCCTGGCCTCTCCATCCCTTCAGGGTCCTTTCCCTGCCCCCCAGCCCTGTCAGTCCCTTGGCTCCAGGAGCAGAGCCAGCCTGTGCCGGAGGGAGCAGCTGGGCGGCTAATGTGCGGCTCCACGGGCGGCTGTCGCAGCCAGCGCCACAGTGTGTCAATTTCACGGCCCCTTATGTGGAACATGCAGCTTGATCCGTGGGATCCAGCTCCAAGCAGCCTGCGCCACCCGCCTCTGGGTCCTGCCGCCTCTGCCATGGGGGGGAGCATTAGCAGGGGTCCCCCGTAACCTGCTGCTGAGCAGGGTTCCCCACCAGGGCATTGCCCCCCATGCTGCTGGCAGAGCTCCTCTGGGCTGCCAGGTAGCACCATGCCCCAGTGGACTGGTGCCCTGCGCCGGCCCCATGCCGAGACACTGCACGGCTCTAGACGTCCCAGAGAGAGAGGAAGCCAGTGGCAGCTGCGTCCCCCTGGGCTGCGCTGATGTGGCAGAGCCCCAGGGTTGGCGCTATGCCCCTGGCTTTGGCACAGGCTCTCAGGGGACCCCTTTAATGTGTCAGACCCCGGGGGTCCCCCTCAGTGCAGGTCACACGCTCAGCGTGGGGCTCCATTCCTCCTGCTTCGCCCCAGCAGTGCTGCCCAGCAAGTCCTCCTGAGCCAGATGCTGGGCAGAGGCCTGGCGCTCTGCGGGGACTAGGCCCCTCACCCAGCATTTGCAGTGACC